CGCATATGGCCCACAGGCACTTGAGGCCATGGATATGAGGTCTGGAGGAAAATAATAACCTGAGGCCAAAATGGGCAAATAAGGAAAGAGGGGAGAAAAATTGATCAAAGCATGGGACAAAGAGATTAAGAAAGAACTAAAAGAAATGTGATATAAGAAAGTGAAGTGTTGCAGCAAGCTGTATTGTTCAGCTAATACATGCTGTGATGTACTATCTCAAGCCACAGGTAAGTGGGAGGAAGCTGAAGTGGCAGTGGGTGTGCCTCTCCCTAGATAGCTTCATATCTTCCTATATGGCAGGTGTCTTTGTTCTCCAGTTCTTTCTTTGAGCCCATTTTTCCACCTTGCTTTCTACTGTTGACATCCTTTTCTGTGCTATTTGTGCTTTTCCTCTTCCATCTGTACTTAAAAATACCAAAATTAGTGTACTAATGTTTGATTTAGATGAGTGGCTCCCAACCTTTTCAAGCATACGGATCCCTTTATAATCTATTAAAATTTTATGAACACCCCCCCCACCAATGTTTTCAAACATTCCATTACTTGATAATCATTTGAAATGTATAATAGTTCATGTTAGCTAAACAAATATAGTTGTATTGAGAGATAATACAGTGTGTCCACATTGAAGCGTAACAACTTTGAGGTACCATATATTTTTATTGAATAATGTGAACAGAAGAATATGTACACAGCTCATAGGTAATATGCATAAGTTACATTTGGCATATGGGTATGTATTATTGGAGTACATTAGGGTACACGTTCAACATGTGCACCATCGTAGCATGGACTATGTCACACCAATCCCTCTACACATTGTCTAACATCGCAGGTGTCAATCTGAAACATGAAAGAACATAGGGCTGGAAACTTAGATATATGATGTAGTATCTGTGCAAGATTCAGCATATTCACATTCATACATAAAAAATTATGCTTCAAAGTTGTTACATTTCGGTGTGGACTCCCTGTACTTTCCTTACTTAATGAGGCGGCTTGTGCTGTAGAGCAGATGACAGAGCGCGGATGTCTGGTTGGATTGATGACAGTCTCTGCTTTAGATCTGATTCCATGTTCAGTTGGTTCCTATACTTCGATTTTAATGCAACCAGCACAATAAATCCAGTTTTAAAAACATACATTTTTGGAAAAGCATCAAGTATTTTTTTAGCCTTTTAAGAAAGTTCTGGATATTCAGTAACAGCTTATAGTCAAAAGCCAGTCGGGGGCTTTTGTTGAAGACAAACTTCAACGAGTTGTTACATCATAGTTCAGCGAGACTGTCTTGTTCTTGGAATGTCAAACTTGTGTTTATGTCAGTAGCAGAGTCCACAGGTGGGTTTCCAATCCAGTCATCATTCACATTGGTAATAGGAAAGTACTCACACAGCTGTAGTTGGAAATTTTGCATTCACTCTGTGATTTCACATTTTACGTTATCTGTGAGTTGCATTTCTGAGATGGCCAAAATATCAGACAGATTTGGGAAAGAACCATAGTGGAACTGATCAAGTTGAGATGTCCACAGGCCCAATTCCTTGATCATAGTATCAGTCTCTTCATGGACATGGAAGATAGTCACAACTTTCCCCTGTAGACTTTTAGATTAAGCCTGTTTAGGTAGCTGAAGATTTTGGCTAAATAGTCCAATTTAGCTAGCCAAGGAAACTCAGCAAGGTGATGAGAGAGCTCAAAATGATGGTCCAGCAAAAAAAATCCTCACTTCGTCACACAATTCAAACATGTGCGAGAGAAGCTTTCCTTTCAAAAGCCAACGAATTTCTGTGTAAAGAAGTAAGCTGTGATCACTGCCTATCTCATCACATAAAGCAGCAAATAGTCTTGAATTCAGTAGATGGGCCTTGATTAAATTGATGGTCTTCATTGACTCGTCCAAAACCATCCTTAGGTCAGCAGACATTTTTTTAACAGCCAGCACTTCCCTGTGAATGCTGTGTGTAGAGAATGAATGTAGCTAACGGTGCCACTGCTGTAACTTGAGTGACTACTCGGGTGTACTGGCCAGTCACTGCACGAGTCCCATCAGTACTGGTCCCCACAAATTTTGACCAGTCAATATCATGCTCCCTCCTGAAATCGCTCAACATATCAAAAATAGCTCAACAGTTGTGTTTGGGGGCAAAGATTTTCGAAAAAGACAGTCTTCTTGAAACTCTGTTGTATTCATATCTGGCGACTGACAGGAAGTTTGAATGGTTTGCGATATCCGTTGACTCATCAATTTGCAAAGAATAGAAGCAGCTTTTCTGCACCCTCTGTCAGTCAGTTCCTTAACATTCTGAGCCATTTTGTCAATTCTGCACCTAACTGTGTTATTTAAGAAAGAAATTAAACCAATCTGTTTGCCAGCCTTTTCTCTGAGCATTGCACTCACCATCTCTTTGGCTGCAGGTAATATCAGTTCCTCCCCAGTGGTGTATGGCTTTCCTGTCATGGCTATGAGGTGAGCCACCCAATAAGAAGCTTCCACTGCCTTAGCATTGTCACTGCCTGTGGCTATGTGCTCGATTCATTTTTTGCTTTCCTTAAATTCTTTGAGTTTGTTCTCAAAAAATTCAGTTGGCTTTGAAATATATTTGCCATGTTTCGTTTCAATGTGACGCTGAAGATTAGTTGGTTTTAAGCTCTCATTTGACAGCACCTCCTTACAGAGTAAGCATAATGGACATATTTCAGATGAAATGCCAGTCCATGTAAGCCCTAATTCCAAGTATATATCATTATATTTTCACATTTTCTGTTTACTTTAAGTTTGTTTTGAAGTGGAACTTGATATTCCACAATGGTCTCCCAGTTCCTTTTTAGCATTCCTGTCTTGATCCACCAATCCATTTTTGCTAGCCCTTCCTGCCACTCTAATAGGTTTTGAACAGTTAGAGTGGGGTGATGTATTCACATAACATGATCACGGAACTAAATATTTAATATATATTTATAATTACAGAATATAAACATATTTATTAATTAAAATACATGAGTATTTTTTTATACACTGTACATTTATTTCAAGTTCTAGTTTAAACTTTCTGTGGACCCCCTACAGTGCCACCGTGGGTCACTAGGGGATTGCGGACAGCAGGTTGGAAACTGCCCCCGTATAAAACTATGGTACGCCCACATCTTGAATACTGTGTACAGATGTGGTCTCCTCACCTCAAAAAAGATATTTTGGCCTTGGAAAGGGTTCAGAAAAGGGCAACTAAAATGATTAGGGGTTTGGAACGGGTCCCATATGAGGAGAGGTTAAAGCGACTGGGACTTTTCAGTTTAGAAAAGAGGAGACTGAGGGGGGATATGATAGAGGTCTATAATATCATGAGTGGTGTGGAGAGGGCCGATAAAGAAAAGTTATTTATTAGTTCCCATAATAGAAGAACTAGAGGACACCAAATGAAATTAATGGGTAGCAGGTTTAAAACTAATAAAAGAAAGTTCTTCTTTACACAGCGTGTAGTCAACCTGTGGAACTCCTTGCCAGAGGAGGCTGTGAAGGCTAGGACTATAATAGAGTTTAAAGAGAAGCTAGATAATTTCATGGAGGTTAGGTCCATAAAAGGCTATTAGCCAGGGGATAAAATGGTGTCCTTGGCCTCTGTTTGTCAGAGGCTGGAGAGGGATGGCAGGAGACAAATCTCTTGATCATTGTCTTCGGTCCACCCTCTCTGGGGCACCTGGTGCCGCCCACTGTCGGAAGACAGGATACTGGGCTAGATGGACCTTTGGTCTGACCCAGTACGGCCGTTCTTCTGTTCTTATGTTATGTAACCACTGATTTAGATTGTGAGCCACTCAGCTTATGAAGAGAATGTGACCTAATTCTAGTCCTATGCCATGTAGAATTTAGCAAGCTATAAATCCAGAAGCCACACTGTCCACTTTCAGTGGACACAGCATTTAACACCTTTCTCTTTGTGATTCTTGAATTGAGCCTGAAGTCCAAAGGGAAAAGAATGTTGTGATGAGGTCCTAATGAACTATCTATCCTGTGAAACAAAAGTCCAACATGGTAATATATAAGACTCTTAACAGCAGAGAAATTATTGGTTAACAGTGAGATAGATCCTTCACAATAAGGAAAAGGGGTTCCTTTTCCTGAAGACTTTGAGAATTACTACAACTGTTGGTAAAACTTTGATTACAGTACGCTATGTTTGACTTCTAGGCTGTTAATTTCATGTTTACTAATTACAGTATCACATTGCTAGCCCTCTACAATCACATAAACACACATTTTCTGTGATATGTTATCTGAAATAGTGTTAAAAGATTACAGCTCCAATGGGATGAAGAGACTCCCATTTGTATATTTGGCTATGTATGTGAACTGTGTGTAGGTATGTGAATGTATAACCATGTAAACCGTTAACTGATAAGCCTGGGCTTATTGGTTAGCATTCATGGTTACACGCAGGCTCCCACCGTACAGAGGCAGCAGTGCAAAGGCAATAGCCAGCTCCCCAGGAACGGGGTTACAGGTGGGAGCCAGTTCATGGGCTGCTGCTGCAAGTGTGTGTAACTGCTGAGTTTTTCAGTGGTTACTCAATTGCCTGCTTTTTAACATCCCTAATTGTAGGTGCATATTGAGGGTGACTAGAGAAAAGCATGACAGAAGCACAATGCAGCTGCCCAGCATGACTCTGCTTGTGCATTTTAGTGTTGACGTACAGCATCTGTGCCCCTGATCTTCTGTAAGTGCTAATGAGGATATAGTGAGTTTCAGATAGGAAAATAATAAAATACATTTAAAATGGACACTTTCTTCTACTCCCCCTGCCTCTTCCTTTCCCACACTTCAGGTGCCTGACAGAATCCTGAAGGTATCTCTCATTTCAAATCTTAGCCCTCCCCTCAACACAGTCATCCATTCTTAGAGGTATTTGCTATTCTTTGTAGACGTTCATCTTTACATACTTTCCTATTTTTACCATCAAATCTAAGACATTTCTGTGTTACTGTCTTTGCTTATCACTTTCTAGTTCCTTGCTCAGTTAAAACTCATGGACTACAGCTTGCTGGTTGGAATTCATGATGTTGAGAGAGCTGAACAGGAAGAAGTAGAATGTGAGGAAAATGATGGAGAAGATGAAGGGGAAAGTGATGGGAACCATCCTATTGGAACGCCTCCAGATAGTCCAGGAAATACACTGAACAGCTCACAGCCTTTGGCTCCTGGGGAATTTGATCCAACCATTGATGTTTATGGCATAAAATGCCATGAAAGTAAGTATTTCTGTGAACATTTTTATATACAAGATGTTTTTATTCTTGCATCAAAATCACAAAGCTTTATTAACCACATCAAGACAAAATTATATTGCACATTATGATCCATTCTGTAGAAGAGGAAATTATTTCATTTTAGATGCAACAGAAAGTTGAAGGCACCTATGTTACTTGGCTTTGATGCATAATATAATAATTCTTGGACATTGTAATGTCTAGGAACACAGTAAAACAGTTTTACCTACCGCACAGTTAGCTAATGTACTTGCTCAACTGTTTACATTGCTGCATGGTATGTGGAGATACAGCGATTCTTAGAATCCAGGAGAAAAACTCCTTTGCAGGGAAGAGTAGAAATCTATTTGCTGTACATAACTCTTTTACATTGGTAGATATGACAGTACTGTTAGCCATAGTTCATAGCAAATAGGAAAAGGAGCAACTCACTGTACTGACCTATATCTCAAAAACTTCATTACTTGTAAAAATATTTGTAGACTTTGAGCCGAATTTTGTACTACAGTACTTATAACAAAATCTCGTGTGGAAGTCTGTTTTGAATAAGAAGCAAGTGGACTTACAACTGAGCAGAAATGCTTTCTATTTAAAGTTGCCACAGATACTTTGTCTGCCTTGAACTATCTGCTTTACATTGAGGCCCTGCTTTGTAAACATACATATTGGTAAATCCATTTTTCTACCATTCATAATTTAACTGTGAATTTAATAGTTGAAACACAAGTACTGTCTGCAAAATATATGCCATATGTACATGGCAATTTTTCGTATTTATATCTCAAATAATTATGGATAAAATGAAAATACATGTAAACCCTAAGCCCTGACCAAAATCAGCCTCTCCCTTTCTTGAAGACTGGCTTCATTTTAGTCATGTGTCATAAGATAGAATCTTGATTAAAGCACTTCTAAAGTCATTCTGGCTGCAATGTGTTTGTCATTCTGCAGATGCACCTAGGAAAGAGGTATACTTTATGGCCATTATTGACATTCTTACTCATTATGATGCAAAAAAGAAAGCTGCCCATGCTGCAAAAACTGTTAAACATGGTGTAAGTATCTGTTTTCTCTAATTCCATTGTGGCTTCTGAATATTTTCTATGCCCTGCGGTGGCATAGTCTAGAGGATTTATGGAAGTATGCAAAATAAGTTGTTTAACTTTTTTAAAAATTAAATATTTAAATAATTGTGATTATTTAAACTAGATAGTGATTGTTACAAGTTAAAAATTAAGAGTAAAAATGCCTTTCTGCCCTGTTCGTTATTGGTGAACACTAGAATACATGCTTCATTGGTATTCTATCATTTCTAGGTATTGTACATTTGAGACTTTTTAAAGAGAGATTTATAGCAATACACACATGAATATGTCCATATCAGAATGTGGCATATATTTATTACAGTGGCTTTGGTTGTAGGCTAGAATATCCACTGTTAAAGGCCCACAAAGTTAAAGCTCCTTTCCAGCCTGTAATGGTATTAACAAAGAATCTTTAAAAGCTATGCCAAATGCAGGTAAATACATAATTTATAGTATACTGAATTATTTTTTCCAAACAGCCAACACTTAAAACTTTGTAACCAAATTAAAGAATAAATCTCAGGAGCTGAATAGCCTCTTACTATTGCAAATGGTGTACAGTGAAAGCCATATCTTTGCCAAAAAAAATAGCCTAACCCTTTAATAGTTTGCTGATTTGACAGTGGTTTTATTTAGAAGTCATTCATCTATTTTTTTTAAAAAATGGTTAAATATAAAGAGAACTCTGTGTGCAGAAGTCTTAACATAGGACTTGATCCTGCAAACAGGTCTGTATAACAGACCCTCATGCTCATCTGAAGCCTGCAGAAGTCATTTATAGATTAGATTGCATGATAAAGAATGCTGTTTTGTGCATTTTTTGGCCCAATCTGCTGAGAGTTTTTTCCAAAATGTATAATATGGTTTACTTCATAAGGTTTTAGTAGAATACAGTGTGGGTTTTTTTGGAGGGGGGCGGGAAGCATAAAAATGCAAATGTATACTGCTTCAGTATCTTAAAATCCCTTGTCTAAAGGATGATGCATGTTACTGTAAATAAGATACAGTGATATGGCTATCACTATTTTGATTTGGTGTACTGTTAACAGCAGAAGTCGGAATAAACATGAAGTAGGCCAGTCTTCATGAGATGAAAATTTTCCTTTCTATGATCATGACATTCTCATAAGCAAACTAGGGAAATGTGGTCTAGATGAAATTACTTACAGGTTGAACCTCTCTAAACTAGGACTCTCTGGTTGAGCAACATCCATGGTCCTGGACGTCTGTGATCCACTAGGACCATATATGTTCCTGGACCAGAGAATCCCAGTGGAGGGCTGGCAGCAGGAGCCCAATGATAGTTGGGAGAGCTAGGGTGCTGCTAGCAGTAAGGTGGGAGCCAAGAGTCCTGCTGTGTCTGGGAGCCCAGCTAGGCTGGTATTGGATGGGGGGCTGACCAGCAACTGAGCTAGGAGCAGAGCCAGGCTAGGGAACCAGGGGCCAGAAATGACCTCCCCTGATCCAGCTACATCCCTCCTTCGGGACCTGTTAGGTCCTGAGGTTGTCATACCAGGGAGGTCCAACTTGTACAAGATGGGTGCACAACTGGTTGAAAGTCCATACTCAAATAGTATGGTTTGCTGTCAAATTGACCTAGTGCAGTGTTTCTTAAACTTTTTAAGACCTAGGAACACCGAACAACAAATTTTTTTTTTTTGTATAGGGAACACCAATGATTTTTGTTGAGCAAAAAAAAGGAAGGAAGGAAGCTTGCTTTCTCCAGCCATTTGAACTCGGTTCTCTCCGTGTATGGTGACCAGATTTTCTGAACCAAAATTAGGGACACATTACCTACACCCCATGACCTTTGTTTACTATACCCCTGACTCTTGGGGTCAAGATGGACACATGACCAGAAATAGAAGTAACCTCCTCTAAGAACTTTTCCCACCATCCTTCTACCCATAGAGGATGAGTTTGGCCCCCACCAAAGCTCTCTCCTCTGGTGCTGGTCTCCCCCCTGCAGGTGTCTGCCCTTCTGCTTCACCCTCAGAAACTCCTGCACCTTCCCTTACCCCTGCACCCTCCCCCTTCCCTCACTGCCCCTTTCCCCCCTTTCCCTCTTTCTCCCTGATGCCCATCCTCTCATGTCCCTCTGTGCCCTCACACATGACTTGCTCCATCTCCACCTTCCTCATGCCCATCCCTCCTTTCAACCCTTCTCCCAGCACCTCCCCCTCCCCTTGCTTCGTCTTGCCCCCAATGCCCGTCCCCTCCACCGTCCCACCCCCACTGACACCTCCCCTCCTTCCTCCTGCCTTTTCCTCATTGTCTCCATTTGGCCCCCTGGCATTTCTCTCTCCTCCACCCTTGCCGGGCCTGGAGCTGGGCCGCCCACGGTGCTAATGTTCGTGCCACATTCCAGTCCCTGCATCAGCTTTGGCTCCCATTAGGAGGAGTGCGGAGGGGAAGGAGGAGAAAGCCCCCACCCTCCCAGATCTAGCTTCTGGAGCACAGCAGAATGAGGGGATCCACGTACTGCCACTCCCCCAGCAGATTGGGAAGGTGTAGAGGAAGAAAAGGCCGTGCACAAAGCACACCAGCAGAGCCCAAACATACCCCACTCTGTAGTGCTCCAACCAGCACCCCTCCCCCTCTAGCAACAGTGGCAGCTGCCTGTGGATGGAGGAGGCCAGGCTGGCCGCGCACGGTGGAAGCAGTCCCACAGCGGGAGGGAAGGGCCACCGGGGAGGGGGGTGCCAGATGGTGACGCATGCTGCATGGGAGCTTGCCACCGGCAGTGGCCCTGGTTGTCTGCACAAAGCACCAAGGGAGCCGCTTATGTGCTGGGTGGAGGTAGGGAGTTGCTGTTGTGCCACGCTAGTGCTGGGTGTCTTTAAATCCGGGACTGTCCTGTGAAAAAAAGGATGTATGGTCACCATATCTCCGCAGCACACCTCCGACTGCCTCGCAGAACACAGTTTAAGAAACGCTGACCTTTTGGGATCGCACAGAGGTCATTCTGGATCCAGTAATAATATTTTCATGAATTATTTGGATAATTTAAGAGTATTAAAATTCAAAGCAATCTTCACAAATTGGAGAATTGGTTTGAAATCAAACAAATGAAATTCAGTAAAGACAAATGCAAATTATTTCTTCACTGAGGAAGAAAACCATATCCATAACTATAAAATGGTGAATAGGTAGCTAGGAGGTAGTAATGTTGTATAGGATCTGGGATTTATTGTTGGCTCATTCAATTTATGATCCACTATCTGATGCAACTGCAGAAAAAGGGGGGGAGGTGAGAATTAATAACAGTGTCCTACATAAGACATGTTTGGTAATTGTCCTGCTTAACTCCACACTGGAGTGTCCTCAGCTGGAGTACTGTGTTCAGTTCTGAGTGCCATATTTCGGGAAAGATGTTGGACAAAGTGGAGAGAGTTAGCAGAAAACAACAAAAATTATAAAAGTTTTGAAAACCTGAGCTTTGAGGAAAGGTTAAAAAACTGGATATGTTTAATCGTGAGGGAAAAAATGGAGTTTGGGAGAAACACCTGATAGTTTTCAAATGTTAAGGGCTGTTACAAAGAGGATGGTGATCAATTATTCTCCATGTTGACTGAATGTAGGACTAAAAGTAATCTACAGCAAAAGAGAATAAGGTTCATAGTTAGAAAAACTGTCTGACTATAAAGGTACTTACACTCTGAAATAAGCTTTCAAAGGAGGTTGTAGAAACCCCCATTGGAAGTTTTTAAAAACAGGTTAGACAAACTCCTGTCAAGGATAGTCTAGGTTTGCTTGGTCCTGACACAGAGCATGGAGCTGCACTTGATGACTTCCCAAGATCCCTTCCAGACCTACATTTTTATGATTGTCATTCTGGGGCACCATTTTAGGGCTTGATCTTGTAAACATAAGTAGCTTTATCCAACTGAGCAGTCCCATTGACTGCTCAGTGAAACTGCTCAGATGAGTAAAAATGCACACAGATAGTAAGTATTTGCAGTAATGAGCCCTTAGCTAACCTCTTACCGGGAGAAGATCATTGTGGATAGTTATGAGTTGCTTTAGAATTCTCAGCAATAAACCCCAGTTATGACTTTATAAAGATCATGTCAGTATTAAGACATCTGAAAGTGGAGGCAGCCCTTGTACAGTCATCAGCTGATGATTACCAACAGTTTAAATTGAATCATCTTTTTAAAAACCCATTCACTTTTCTCTAAAATACTTTATCTGCTCTTGTTACAAGCAATGCCTAGGATTACTCCTGAAAGAGATTAGGAAATGTCTTTTCTCTATTTGAAGGTTTTTATCTCATTGGACAGCATTTAATGTACATTCAGTTACATTGTTCAAGTCCTGATCTAACTCTTATTGAAGTCAATGGAACTCTTTCCATTTACTGCCTCTGATGTTGCTATTGACTTTGATTTGGTCAGGATTTAAGCTTATATATAGAGTGCAAAATTATTAGTAGTTATCAATCAATCCAAAATAATCGGATTTGCCTTTTCAAGATAAAATAGCCAATCAAGTTGTCATGTAGTAATAAACAATGATGTACTGGATGTTGGTCCTTGTCAGGAGTAATCATCCATCTGAAGATACCTGTTTGATGAAAACCTGGGGAGTCTCTCAGTATCATGGTAATTAAATTCTAGAAATTATGAGGGAGCTTAATGTACAGTTAGGGTAGAGAGAGCATTACACTTCTAAAAGGAAGAGACTGATCATACAATGATGCCAATGAGGACAGTTACTCCAGTGCCAACCTTCCTAGAGTTCCATGGGATTCTGCGTGGGAGCAATTACATTTGCCTGCTATCCTGTTTGCAGGATCAGGTCCTGGGACTGAAAATAGCAATGCAATTTTAAGTAATGGTTTCCATACAAAAATGCTCAATTAAAACTGATTTTTCTCCTCTTTTTAATTCTCCCCTATAGGCTGGTGCAGAGATTTCAACCGTTAACCCTGAACAGTATTCAAAGCGCTTCTTGGACTTTATTGCCAACATCTTGACGTAACCTATCATGTTACATAGGACAGACACAAGACCTGGGGGGGAAAGAAGGGAAGTCAGAGAAGTGCTCATCTTGCAGAAAGCAACCCCCTTGTTTACATCTGCTGGCAAAGATGACTAATTTGGGGTGGAATACTCGCTTTAACAGCTGCCTGATATTCCCAGCATAGTCCTAGCTATTTCTGACTTTTTTTGTGTGTGCAAAAAATATATATATAAATTAATAAACTGAAAAGATCAGCTTTGCTCAGAGTGCATTGCAGTGGCAGCACTCAGATGGTACAAGCTGAAATGGAATGAATGAGCAGAGGTGTGAGGGTGGAAGAGGAGCAAATGCATGTTAAATCTACAATATTGGTATCAAATTGTAAACTGTGGATCAGTTTATTTTTTGAATGAAAGGATGCAAGATGGTATTTGATGATGATAATAATAATAATAATAATAATAATAAAATCTTTACTGCGAATGTTACACTTATACCCTGCACGCTGGCACTCCTTAAAAATAGCAACGTTAAACCCTTGGTGCTGGAAACTTTCCTGTTAGCTCCATTGCTTTTTTTTCCCCATCAGCACACTGCATCAGGAAGTCCAGACTCCCAAGGGTCCAAGAGCTAATGGCTCTTGTTTTACAAAGAGCTAATGCCATATTCATGCTGCATATGTTTTTGCAATAGCAAATTTTTGTCTAGGGAAAAACCTGCTTATTTCACTTTTATTACCTGACATTTTTTTCATTATTATACTGTTATATTCTTGCAATATGTGAGCTAATAATGCTACAAGGGAAAAAAAGCTTATTTGAAGAAGTGCATAGTTTTGGGCAATAGTAGCTACATCTTCCAGCGCAGGAAGCTGAGCAAAATTATAGAAATCTCCATTTTCCTGTAATCTAATGAGAATCTGAATTTTAAATGCTTATATTGTACTGTTTAAACAGTGGTATTTTATTATAAATTATCCCTCTAAAAAAATCAATCCTGAATTTTACTGTTTACATTATTAGGAAAACAGGGATACTTTTGAATTTCAGTGTTTGTGTACAGATGTGATTTTGAAGTTTACATGTAAAGTTATTTTGCAGTACCGATGAAGTAATCTTTGTCATCTCTTAAGGTGTAACATGCAGTAGTGTACTAAAGTGAATGTCTCATTCACCTCCATGGTAGTCTCTTTTACAATAAACTGAGAGATTGTTTTTGAGGTTTTTTCAAATGTTCTTTATCATCTTAAATGACTTACTTTAGTGTTTACCCAAAGTTGGTTGTATAATACATTGCCTAAAACTGTGCTGATCATGTTTAATCTGTTAAAAATTTTAAACAATGATACTGTATTTACTTTCTTTCCTGTATTTTTCTTAAAAAATCCAAGCTTAAAAAGTGAGAAACAAAATTATACATGCTTAAGTTTATCCACTTATACACTGTGCTAACGCTGTGCCTTTAAAGCTCTTAATTTGAAACAGTTGTTTTTATAGATAATTTAGAAAACAAACTCCCATTTCCCACCCTAACTTCTAACTTAAGAAACCCAGGAGTGCCAGGATGCCTTCTCCAATAACTTAATGTCAGTGCTGATAAGACTGCACCTGTGCATAACATATTTAGTGTTTACTTCAGAGAAACCTATTAAAAACAGCAGACAAGAATCTTCAGCAGCCAAAGGTAATACCATCCCTATTGTGGTGTACTGATTTTTTTTAAACATGGTTTTGTTACCTTAACTTAGGGATGTTAACAGCACTATAATCTGTGTGTACAATTCTGTATTGTATGTATTTAAATACGTTGATACTGTGGCTTGATTTTTTTTGTCCCCTCCTTATGACCCCAGTTAACTGTGGCATCTCATGAATGTTCTGTTTTCTGAAGTATACTGTGGCTTCTAAAATTGACACTGCAAAGAGGCCCTGAAGTAAAAGCAAGGTGCACGTACGTTTTTTGAGTAAATACTTAATTGTGGCTAATTAGTGTATGCTTTCTAAAAGCTTACCTCAAAGCATTCTTTTTGTCTGTAACAGTCTTTGTCACTCATTATTTCTGATAAACTGTTTATTTGGACAGGGTAAGGAAAGATTCACATTGTATCTCCTAGTAGTGCTAAGACTACACTCCAGACATGAGCAGGGCTTTATAAAATAAAGCACTTTGATGACTCACTAGGTAAATCATTGGTCCCTGTGTTTCAACTGCACTTTTGATCACTTGTAGATTAGATTTTAGATACTAAAGCGAACATGTAATTCAAATGTGTATCTCAGAGAAACAAAAATGAGTCAGAAGATTTTTCATTAGATTTACAACCTCTTTTTTCCCATATTTTCTCCAAGTAGCTTGAAATTCTCTGCCTTTGTCTCTTTGTGGCTGCATGTAATTTCTGAAGTGATTCAACTTATGCTGTGAGAGCAGATATGAATATGTAGCAGTTCTATGGAGTAACATTAAGGTTAGGACAAAATTGAAATTTTCTCCATAGTGGCTTATTGGAAAAGGGGATTAACAGGATAACTTTTATAAATAATACCACATCTCTAACCAAAACAGTTCTGAAAATGTACTAAGAAGCAGATTAGAACAATTCTGGACTTTGAAGACAAAAAAGCCTTTGTTTTGGCCTTCTAGTGCTTTGATTGCTAGAGTTTTCCACACATGATGTTACCTATACTGTGGTCTTCAGCAGTACTCTAGGGCAGCAGTTCTCACACTGTGGTACATAGACCACCAGTGATCTGTGGCCGCCTTCCAGTTGATCCATGGTTCGAGCTCAGTCCCCCACCCGTTTCCCATGCAGCAGGGAGCTTTCGTTGACACGCCAGCCTCATCCTCGTTCCCCCCCCCCCCACACGCACACACACACACACAGTTGGCGTGCCAGCACTGGTTTCCTGCTGTGGTAGAGGGGAGAGAAAGCCCTGAGCCTCGCTGTGTGACCAGGCTCGCAGGGAAGAATTCCTCCCTGCCCGACTGGGAGAACAGGAGCATGCAGGTGCACTGCCTGGAGGCTTTCCTCACTGCTCCCGTTGGCTGGATTCTGGGCAGTGGGAGCATCAGGAGGCAGTGCCTGGGACCAGCTCGGGGCGCAAAGGCAAGTAAGTGCCCCCCACCCCTTCATGCCCAGACTCTCACATCCCCAACTCCTCATACACACAGCACACTGAGATTCCCCCCTCCCAGCCCATTCTTGCACCTGCCCTCCTGGCCACACACTGCTCTTGCCCCCTCCCCCTGGCCAGATACCCTACTCCCAGCCTGCTCCTGCACCCTACCTCCCATCCAGACCGCACATTCTTATCCCTTCCTGCACCCCACTTCTGCCCAGATACTGCACTCCCAACCCTCTTGTTGGCAGACCTGTCCCACATACTGAACCCCCCATTTTTGTTTCAACCCCAGAGCTGAGGAGGTTCCACAAACCCTGAAACCCCAGAAGAGTAAATCTGGCCTATGAGAAGCCCTGAACCCCAGTTCTCCCTGTCCCTCCCCATCCCTTGGTGGATCTGGAGTGCCAGATGTGTGTCAGTTGGGGGATACATGAAAGAGGGTTGGAGATTTTTGGAGGGTGTGTTTGTGTTTGGGCTTTTGGGGAGGGTTGCTTCTCACTTGTGTGGTCCCCAACTGATTTTTCTACGGGTGGGTCAGTGACCCCTGACTCAAAAGGTTCCCACTCCTGTCATAAAGAAAATATTGAAATCTTTTGTGTTGGACATAAATTTATATTTTACATCATTTAAAATGAAGTTGGATAAACAAATGCGAAAGTTAAAATACTTAATCTGTTTAATAATTTAAATTAATATTTCCTTTTTTACTGGTTAAATTAAACCAGTCTCCCTAGCTGCAGCACTAGCAAAATGGCTCACGTATAATTATGTAATTAACGATGATTTTGCAGTAGCAACTCATGGTTCACGGAAAGATTGCATTGAGTCAGGTGGGCTATGGCCCAAAAAGTTTGAGAACCACTGTTCTAGGAGCAACAAGGCCAACACAGTACCCTGGTTCCAGGCCCAGTTCACACCGTCCTTTCTTCCATTTTGATCAAGAGTCTTAATGTTGGTTTGATAATTTTGTTATGTTTTAATTTCCTTATTTTATTGTGGAACTAAAATATGAACTTTTTACCTGAACAATGTATATGGTAGACGTTTATTTTCCTCATAAAGGACAACTCTTGTAACACAAGTTATTTTAAAGGCATCAAGAGGGGAAAGAGGTAAGGATCAGCTCCCTCAAGACCCAATGAGCCCTCTTAATGTGCTTTCCCGTCATCACATGCCCTTCTGGGTCCCTACTAGCTCCTCTGCATGTGCCCTTCATATAGTCATTCCTACGAATGTTTGGTTTTTAATGTAAATTTGGTGCTCAAGGAAGTAACAAACCTGGCAGTACAAATACATTGAGAGACTGAGGAAAGCCCCCTCTTCTCCAAACTCATTACTGGTCCTAAAGTTGGTAGTTTGATTCTGTTCCCATTAATTGACATAAAGGGTAACAAGAAAACATTCTACAAACATATTAGAAGCAAGAGAAAGATCAAGGATGGGGTAGGCCCATTGCTCAGTGAAGAGGGGAAAATAACTGGAAATTTGGAAATGGAAATAAAGGGTTAACTTCTTTTTTTCAGTTTTCACCAAGAAGATTCATGGTGGCTGGTTGCCTAACATAGTGAATACTAGAGGAAATAGAATATGTTTAGAAGTTAAAATAGGAAAGGAACAAGTTAAAGATTACTTAGAAAAGTAAGATGTCACGTGGGCCTGATAAAATGCATTTTACAATACTCAAGGAGCAGATAGTAGAGGTATCTGAGCCTTTACCTATCATCTTTGAAAAGTCATGGAAGTCTGGAGCAATTCCGGAAAATGGCAACTATAATGCCCATCTATAAAAAGGGAAAGAACAACAACCCAGGAAACTAAAGACCAGTCAGCTTAACGTCTGTGCCAGGAAAGATAATGGAGCAAATAATTAAGGAATTCATCTGCAAACATCTTGAAGATAATAAGGTGATAGATAACAGCTAGCATGGATTTG